ATACCTGAGCGTACAACTGTTTCTTCCATAACTTCATCACCAGACACAACAATCCAGAAGTCCATAATTATTGTGATAGTTTACAAAAAACAATATAAGGCATGGATTATTGAATTTCACAATGTTATATGTGAAAAACGATGAAAGTTCTCATCTGTTACTTTAGAAATATTTCAAGATGGTGTGATTTGTAAATTAGCAAGGTTACTTGATGAGGGTCACAATGATTTGTAGTAAAGTGCCAAGGTTTTGTCGATATAATAATAATAATAAGTAGTGATAATAATGATAACGTTGTGTTAATATAATATGTAAGAAAAGTTGTATAGTCAAGGTAATTATGTTAAAGAAGAATTATTGTGAATTGTGACAGAATAATTAGTGGATCAAGAAACATATAAACACGAAAAGAATTCTTAAGGAGTATATCCACAGGAGATGCTGAATTATTACACATATATCAAGGATCCAATCATCCTTAAACTATCGTTGATTTGTTGTGTGGCTGCTGGTTTGGCTGAGATTATATGTAACCCGGTGGTGGAAAGTGTTTTTTCAGCAGATCATTTTAGTCGAGTTATTTAAATGTTACCTTCTGTGACCTCACTGAAATAGAGTTTTTGATAGAGGGTTTCATTACTGACCGTGTCAGATGTGATTTTTCACAAAGCAACTTCAAAATTTACCTCATAAAGTTGAAGGAGAGGGCGGATTTGGGCTGAGCGAATATATGGGTTTTACTCGAAATATTCATCAACCAGAAACCAACTAGATATGTGCAGTGATTTTATTTGGTGTGATGAAAGGCAATAAACAAGAACATTTAGCTCACTTAAATTGTGTGTAGTTTGAAAGTACACCAATGTTTATTCTTTAGAGCTCTGACAATTTTCAATATACCTGCTGGCTTAGCTCGCGATGGAAATTGACATAGATTCTAATTTCACAATCACTGTCAGTCTCTTCAATATTACAGATACATCTTTTCAATCATTGTCAACTAACACGAAGCCTGCGTTTAAAGGCTCTTCTCGATTGCTTTCAATCACTGAAGATTAAACCTTGTAGCATGTAACAACAAGACTGGTGATGACACTAAAATAAAAGTATCAAACAAACATGATTATGTAATCAGTCATCAGTCAGTTTACACATGGAATTAAAGAACTCACGGTTTAGTTTCCCAACAAGATTTAGTCATTCACAACTTATCAAACAGACGATTGAC